GAAAGACGAAGTTCAACTGCCCTTTTCTGTGAAGCTCTTTGTTAAGACATAAAACAGCATCAGCCCTTGCACAGCTTGTTTTCAGTGTTAAAGTGACCTTATGGTACTTTGTTTTCTGTTGCGGGAGACTCTTAAATATACTTCTAAATTTTGTTAAAGTGATTTTAGTTTTTTAAAACTTACTTATATAAATGGAACAAATTTCAAACATTTCCTATATACAGTTGCAAGAATATAATAATACTTCCCACCCTACCGTCCCTCTCTGGCCCCTACCCTCTCTTCTGCTTCCTTTCTATTTTTCTTTTAATTTTTATAATGGCATATTTTCAGTTTGCTTTGTAATAACAAGCTTAATCCTACACTAAATGAAGAATTCAATAAGTAGTAAGAAAAACTACTATTCTTCAGGAGTATAGACAAGGGCTCTAAACAATACTTAATCTCAAATGTCAATTTTATTCATATACATTATATTTTTGGTGCTCTATTAGTTATCGGAAATTAGAGAAAACATACATGTCTTTTGGACACTGGCTTAATTCTGTGAATAATATGTCTCCAATTGCATCTATTTTGTTGGCAAAGACAGCAATTCATTCTTTTTATGGATGAGTAGTAGTCTATCTTCTATCACACATATTAACTTTCCAATACAGAAAGAAAAGTAGACATTCCAAAATTGTTTTCTTCTTGGCCTCAAAAGTTTGCACTGTTCACTGGATCATATACTATGGTGTTGTATCATTCCACAAAATAACCAACTTCCACCATAAAATTCCTGGCTTAAACTAGACTTCACAAGATATACAAACTCTGGTTATGGAATATACATAGCATGGTGCATATAAACAATAATACTCTATTGCAAATTTGAAATTTACTAATTGGCTAGATCTTAGTATCTTTACCATATAAAAACAGAGAGAGAAAGAACAGAACAAATGGTAGTTAAAATAGTAACACGAAAGATATAATAGAATTTGATGGAGATCATGTTGCACTGTATTTGTGTATCAACAAATCAACACTGTGTAACTTAATTACATTCAAATTTTGTTAATTATCTATCAAACTGAAAGAAAAACAAATATCAATAAATCTGACCTTGTTCTTTCCCTTTGAAATCAACACCAATACTCTATTGATGTAGAATTACTCTCTCTTGGGAAAGTATGAAATAATTTTTGTGTCTTATCCATATGTGGTGCTAGTAATCTCTGGAGAGCAAGTACTATTAACAAGTTTCAGGAGTTCTTTAATTCTCAATTCTTGAATTTATTTACACTGAGTGGAGTGTAAATAAATATATATAAATATAAATGAAAATGAAATATTTTCCTCTGTAATTGAAATTTATCACTTTCAAATCAGTTTTGTAGAGTCATTATATTTTTCTGTATTGTAAACTATCTCAAATATCAATGCAAGTTATATTCATGGCAAAGATTTTCTGTTTGTTATTTGTTAAAGCTCTTAACAAAAACCAGATGTCAGTTGTCATTTTCACTTCACCAAGTTAACAGCGAGGGGGAGTAGGACAGGGAATAAGAAAATGCTGTGAACATTTGGAACAAAATAATATTTACTTCTCATATCATTCTCCAGCCCAAAGCAGTTACTAACCTGAAATCTGTCTCCATATATTTACTTTGCTGGACATTTCATATAGGCGTAATCATAGAATATGAGTTATTTTGTGTCTGAGTTATTTCCTTTGGCCTATTTGCAATGTTCATCTACAATACAGCATAGATAAGTACTTTAGTCATTAATACTAATAATATTTTGTTGTACTGATATATTGCATATTGTTTATTCATCAGTGTGTTCCATCTTTTGATATTATGAACACTGATATGTACATATATTCACATGACTTGATATGAACATTGATGTACAATATTTATAAGTTCTTATTATTTTAACTTTATATTTTTGTTTTCCTTTCTGTCGAATTGTAATGTACATACTGTTAGAGTTGTAAGTGCATAGGCCTATAAATTTTCACAGACTGAGTACACCTGCAGAATCACAACCTATATTGATAAACAGTTTGTTAAGATCGCTCTAGAAGCCTCCTTTTACTCTCTGATAGTCATACTCCTCTACTCTGACTTCTTACAGCATAGTATAAAAAATTTTGTGTATTCCTGTTTTATATACATGGGATCATACAATATAAATATACGCTCTTTGTCATAAGCTTCTTTAATTAGCTGGGAAATGAATGCATATTTTTGCATGTTGGAGTTTGTTCCATTTCACTATTGTTTAAGCTGAAGTTCTCAAAGTATTACACAGTGACTCCTCAGATTCTTCCCATCTTTCTGGAGTGTATACAAAGTCTAAACCTTTTCATAGTAACACTAAGATGCTATTTAACTTTTCACTGTCAGTCATTCCTGAGTGTTAGGGAGTTTTCCAGAGACTACATGATGGGAAGCTGCTTATATAACCCTGGGGTTAAAATGTCTCAATTTTAATTGTTAAAATGTTAATTTGTTGTTGAAATGTCTCAATTCCAACATGTTAACTATTAATAGATATAAGTCACATAAATAAAAATTCCTTTGGTCCTATAATAATTTTTAAGAATGTAAAGTAGCAGTACTTACCATAATCTCAAAAAGCACATTTTTTTAAAAAAGGTTAGCATTTTGTTATTTATTTATTTGTTTGTTTATTTATATTTACTTGAAGCATAGAGGCATACAAAGAGAATGAGTGAGACAGAGGCAGAGAGATATCCATTTGCTAGTTTACTTCCCAAATGACAGGGCAAAGCCAGACTGAAACCATGAGTTGGGAACTCAATCCTGGTCTCCCATGTCAGTGGCAGGGACCCAATTGCTTTAACTATCACCTGTGTCCCCCCAAAGTGAGCATCAACAAAAAGTTGGAATTATAAACTGAGCAAGACTCAAACCCAAGGACTCCAACAAAGGATGCAGACATCCCAAGTGCATCTTTTTTTCCTTTTTTTATAATATGTATTTATTTATTGGAAAGAGTTAGAGACAGACACACATACACACACAGGGTAGAAGAGAGAAAGAGGAGTGGGGTCGGGGGAGGAAGGAAGGGAGGAAAGGAAGGAGAGAGAGAATCCTCTAATCTTCCATCTGCTTGTTCACTTCCCAAATGGCTATAATGACTAGGAGGTCTGGGCTAGGCTAAAGTCAGGAGCTGGGAGTTTCAGCTAGGTCTCACACATGGGAGCAGGGGCCCAACTATTTGAATCATCTTCAGCCGTTTTTGCAGATGCATCAGCAGGGAATTGGATGGATATGGGAGAAGCTGGGAAGTGAAGTGGCACCCAAATGGAATGCTGGTATTGCAGATGGCGGCTTAACCAGCTAGGCCACAAAGCCAGCGCCCCAAGCAGCATTTTAACCACTGTGACAAGCATCCACTCCAAAAGACACAATCCTGAATATCATAATCACAAATTTTGAAGTGTTTAAAGCAAAAAACCCCTAAGGGCTAAAATCTATAATGATGAAAATCCCATGTATAATAATACTGAAAAATAATGATCAAACTTGAGAGCTAAAATTACAGAAACTAAAATTTCTACCAGGAAAAAGGATTTTTAAAAGAGGAATATAAAGTCATACTCTAAGGGATTAGTGTGTGGATTTTCCATTTTACACAGTGCTGTTGCCACCTATTCAGTTGCACTGTGTCCACTTTAAGCATAGTATCACGCTACCTTTAAAAAAAACTTTTAAAGAATCAAAATAATTTGATGAGCTTAATTACTTTCTGATCTAAATATACTTGCTGATGTAGAGGTTCCTTCAGTGTTACAAAACACATTAAGGCGGTGGTGCCATGGCACAGTAGGTTAATCCTTCTCCTGCAGTGCTGGCATTCCATATGGGTGCTGGTTCTAGTCCCAGCTACTCCTCTTCCAATCCAGCTCTCTGCTGTGGCCTGGGAAAGCAGTAGAAGATGGCACAAGTGCTTGGGCCCCTGCACCTGCATGGGAGACGAGGAGGAAGAAGCAACTGCCTCCTGGCCTTGGATTGGCACAGTTCCGACTGTTGTAGCCATTTGGGGAGTGAACCAATGGAAGGAAGACCTTTCTCTCTGTCTCTCCCTCTCACTGTCTGTAACTCTAAGTCTCAAATAAATAAATAATTTTAAAAAAACATGCTAAATAGTGAATTATTCTTTGTTAGGGATTTCACTGCCAGAGAAAACAAAATTCTTACATTTACTACATAATCTCACAGAAAAACTAGTGCATATTTTACTTTAAAAAATGAATGGCACTTCCACAATTGTCTTCACTCTGTCTTATCAAATATATAAAATGCATGCCCTTTTTGATCTAATAATTTTATTATCAATGTACTCAATTATGTTGTAATAATAGGAAAAGCAAAACACTTCATAAATACTTGTTTGGAGATTTGATGGACTTCAAAGAAGAACATAGATTTCAATTGGACCCCCAAACTGGACTGACAAATTTGAAATTAGGTACAATCAAAAATTGCAAAAGTGAATTTCAAGGTGTTGCTAATAACGTTTATTTTTCCCATTCAATGGAATGCATAGCAGAAAATTCATGGATGCATGTGACATGGAAAAGGAAAACTGGCTTATAAATGAGTTATTCTCATGCATTGGCATTCCTTCCAGTTTGTGAAATTCCAGGAGTTATTAATCAATTAAGGCTGCATTGTTTGAAGTAGCCAGCAAAGTTATTTTCAGGTTTGAGGGTTTCATAAAGAGCAGAATAAGAAGACACGCAATGAGGGTTGTTGCTCTCCTCTCACCGGTATTCTTCCTGCCAAATTGGTAGTCAGTGTGTCAGTACATACAGAATGGATTTTGTGGACCCAAATCAATTTAGAAATACAGAGTAGATGATGGACAAAATTTCACAATTTATGAAGAATGCTCTTGACAGTGAATATCAAATAGAATAATTTCCTAAAGGACCAGTTCCATATAGAATATGAGTCTTAATTGTTCTCTGAAGAAAGTCATGCCCTACTAGGATAAAAGCAACTGTTCATCACAATGCAAGACTTCAAATTACAGTCAATGTCCATGTGCATAAGCCTGCTCTTACAGATAACCTGGATGCAGTTACCAATACTCTATACAATAACTTTTTCATATATCAACTTTTCTCTCTATGTTTTCTTTCTATTTTTTCCTTTTTTCCCACTGTTTCAAATTTACAACACTTTTTTCATGCTTCACTATGATGAGTATTTCAGCTTTGCATCACTTGCAATACTGGAGATATAAATATGGTAGACTTTTTAGAGAGTTCAGATTTGTTTAATGCATTTTTTTCAAATTCAGCTGATTCAGAGTACATTCTCATAATGTAGACTTTGTGTTTAAGGACAGTGTATGCACATAAAAACATTAAATCTTCCTCAATAAATGAAAAGAAATCCTTTTGTATATCTGTGTTTGAGAAAAACAAAATTTCTTGATATTTCTATTCTTTGGGTGACTGCATACATAATCATATATTTCTTTCTTAATTTGCTTTTTTATTTGTAAAGGAAAGAGAGAAAGAGGGACAGAGATAGATGGAGGGAGGGGGAAAGAGAAAGAGAATAAGAAAAGAGAGAGAAGGGAAGGAAAAGGCAAGGTGAGGTGAGGCAAGGGATTGGAAGAGAACATGTTCATACTCCAAATGTCCTTGACTGCTAGGACAGGAGTATGCTAAATCCAGGAGCTGGGAACTCAATCTGGATCTCCAACATGGGTTGTAGAGACCCAACTACTTGAACCATCATCTGTTGCATCTAAAAATACACTTTAGCATGTGGCTTGAATCATGAATAGTGCCAGGAATTGAACCCAGGAACTCTGGTAAGGTATACAGGCATCCCAAGCTTTTTTTTTTTTTTTTTTTTTTTTTTATTTTTTTTTTTTATTTTTTTGACAGGCAGAGTGGACAGTGAGAGAGAGAGACAGAGAGAAAGGTCTTCCTTTGCCGTTGGTTCACCCTCCAATGGCCGCCGCGGTCGGCGCGCTGCGGCCGGCGCACCGCGCTGATCCGATGGCAGGAGCCAGGAGCCAGGTGCTTTTCCTGGTCTCCCATGGGGTGCAGGGCCCAAGCACCTGGGCCATCCTCCACTGCACTCCTTGGCCACAGCAGAGGGCTGGCCTGGAAGAGGGGCAACCGGGACAGAATCCGGCGCCCCGACCGGGACTAGAACCCGGTGTGCCGGCGCCGCTAGGCGGAGGATTAGCCTAGTGAGCCGCGGCGCCGGCCCCCAAGCTTTTTCTTAATAGCTATGTCAAAATGCTCACCCCACCATTCTAAGTCCCTTAAGACTTAGATTGTCAATATTTCAGATTACCAAAGTAACTAAGTTGGGTACACAACATTTCCTACCAGTATGTCATGCTTTTATATATTTCATTTATAGACATATATATTATATATATATTTATATGTAAAGAGAGATGATTCATTAGTTTATAATTGTTATACCCATGTGACTATCATTTGTACACTTGAATGATTATGCATGAGAAAACATGCATAATTATTGCCTGTTTTATTGTGTAAAGTGGCTTATGAAGTGTTCTGCTGTGCTTTTATATGTTCCTTTTAATTAATATTTTAAAAATGAAAACCAATGTCTTTTAAAGAATTAGCTTCTTTTATTCAGAATTATAGTTCTCAGATTTCCATCTTTAGAGACATTCATAGCAACATTTGGGATTATTGTCTTTGGAACTGATGTCTTTTAGGATTACCACCCAAATCATATACAGTTACAGAAACCACAAGCTTGAAAACCATTGTTGCAGTTGTGTGACTGAAGGACAATTTATTTTTCCATTATGTTTTTGTTGACAATTTGGGTTATTTCCAGTCTTTGGCTATTCCGTATACTGCTTTATGAGAATGTCTTTTGTAGGACATAAAGTCATTTCTGTTGGGTATATATATCTAGGAAAGAGATTACTGGCATATAAAGTACATATTTAGTTTCTAGTAGCTGACAACAAGTTTTCTAGGGTATCTGTAAAACATTGTAGTTTATATTCCTGCAAACAGTTTATAGGCGTTGCAGTTGTTTAGCCTTCTTACCAACAGTAGGAATTGCTTGTCTTTCTTCTTTTAGATGTTCTCTTGGTTGTATAGTGGAATTAGGTCCTGTTTTAAATTTGCATATCTGTGGCAAGTGAAATTGAGCACAATCACATATTAATATTGATCAAGCAATATTTTTTAACTTGTTCACTTATTTTCCTCAAATTAGGCATAATTTACAAATAAAATCTATATAAAATATACAGTGTGAGGTTTTGATATATGTATACATTGTAAAATGCTCACAATTACAATCACCATCATATTCAATAACTGACATAGTCACCCATTGTTTCTTTGTGTATGAGTGGTAAAAATACTTAAAATCTATCACCTTGTCCAATTTCAGGTATATTCATGCTGTATTGTTAACTATAGTTTCCATGTTATGCATTAGATTTCCAGAATTTCTTCTTTCTATTTTAAATTTGTACCATTTAACCAGTAAGATCTTGGCTTCTGTGAGTAGTTTGTTTATATTTTTTCATATAACTGAAACAATAATTTCTGGCTTATTTTGCTTAGCATAATATCCATAAAGTTTATCTCTGTTGTTGCATATGGTACAATTTCCATATGTTGTTCATTTATTCATTTTGCTTAGCATAATATCCATAAGGTTTATCTCTGTTGTTGCATATGGTACAATTTCCATATGTTGTTCATTTATTCATTTGTCCAGCCATGTAGGTTTGCTCCATATCTTGAATATTGTTAAACATGCAATAACAAATGAGAGTACAGACACCTCTTCAACATAGTGATTTTATTTCCTTTAAATGCGCACTCAGAACTAAGATAGCTAGATCAGTTTACTTTCTCATTGGCTTTTCTCAAAACTTTGCCTTTCTCAACATCCTCTGAAACATTTATCTTTGTTCTTTTTCATAATAGCCATTCTAACCGGTGAGCAGTGATATTGCATGATATGATTTATAATTTCTAAAGATGAGTGGTAGACTGTCTTTTCATTCAGCTATCAACCATTTTGATGTCTGCTTTGAAAAATATTTTTCAAATATTTTTTATTTAGTTCTTTTTTCAATTTCATTTGGTTTATTTCATTTTAGCTATTTTTTTAAAAGTTACTTTTACTTATTTACTTATTTGTGAGGCACAGAGATGAACACAATGTGCCCACAAAAACAGGCCGAAGCCTGAACCAAAGATCCAGAAACTCAATCAAAGTTAGTATCAGGAACCCAATTACTTGAACCATCGTTATTGCTTTCCAGGTTCTTCATTTTGAGAGAGCAGGAATTGGGAGCAAAAGCTAGGAATTCATCCTAGTTACTCAGATATGAAAACAGGAATTATAAGAAACAATTTAACTGCCAGGCCAAATGCCTGCCATGAATTTTTACTGTTGTTTGAGCCTCTTACATATTTTGGCTATTAACAGTTTCTCAGATGTATGATTTCCCACTATTTTCTCCCATTCCATAGATCTTTTTTGTTTACTTTGTTGATTATTTCCTTTGCTGTGCACAATGTATAGTCTGATGCAATTCTATCTACATGTTTTTGCTTTTGTTGCTTGTCATAGCCCAACATCATTGCCCAGAACAAGGTCAAGGAGCTTTTTCTTTGTTTTCTTTTCAGTGTTTTGATGGTTTCAGTGCTTCTTTTTAAGTCTTTCAACCATCTTGAGTTGATTTTTGTATATGATATGAAATATGTGCTTAATTTTATTCTTCCAAATATGGTTATACAGTTTTCCCAACATCATTTGTTGAAGAGACTATGCCATTCCCATTGTGTCTTCTCGGTATCTTTGTGAAATATCAGTTAACAATAAACATGTAGATTTATTTCTGAGCTCTTTATTCTGTACCATTGGTGTACGTGTATAATTTTATTCCAGTATCATACTATCTTGATGATTATGTCTTTTTTTTTTTTTTGACAGGCAGAGTGGACAGTGAAAGAGAGAGACAGAGAGAAAGGTCTTCTTTTGCCGTTGGTTCACCCTCCAATGGCCGCTGCGGCCGGCGCGCTGCGGCCGGCGCACCGCGCTGATCCGATGGCAGGAGCCAGGAGCCAGGTGCTTTTCCTGGTCTCCCATGGGGTGCAGGGCCCAAGCACCTGGGCCATCCTCCACTGCACTCCTTGGCCACAGCAGAGGGCTGGCCTGGAAGAGGGGCAACCGGGACAGAATCCGGCGCCCCGACCGGGACTAGAACCCGGTGTGCCGGCGCCGCTAGGCGGAGGATTAGCCTAGTGAGCCGCGGCGCCGGCCTGATTATGTCTTTTTAATAAATATATCTTAAAATTGGGAAGTGTGCTGCCTCTACCTTTATTTTTCTTACTCAAGATTACTTGGAGTATTCAGGTTCTATTTTATATAAATTTGGGGCTTTTTTCTATCTCTGTGAAAAATGCCACTTGAATTAGAAAGAAATTAAGTAATGCAGGAATGTTGAAAATTTAATTCTTCTAATCCATGAACACTATCTGTCTTCCTATTTGCTAATATCTATTTCATTAACGCTTGTAATTTTCAGTACATAGGTCTTTAATCTCTTTTTTGTTTATTCCTATATATTTATTCATTTGAGCACTGCTATGAGTGAAATGTTTTCTTAATTTCATATTATAGTATTTTGCTGCATATACTGATTTTTGCATGTTAATTGTACAATAAGATCATCTCTTGCGCAAAGATATGTAATTTTATTTCTTAAGAATTTTGTGTCTTTGATTTCTTTGTTGTGAAATTCTTGTAGCAGTTCTTTCAATACTATTTTTTATTTTAGTTCTTAGATTAAGCACCCTTACCTTGAGCCAGAACTTACAGGAAAAATTTCGGTTTCTCTTTATTGATATCCACCCTAGCTTTTGCTCATCGTATGTTACCTTTTCGTATTGAGGTACATTCCTTCTGTAAGTAATTTGCTGAGGAAATTTTTTGAATCATAAAATGATGTTGAATTTTGTCAAACCCTTCTTCTACATCTTTTGATAAGATTACATTATTTTTTGCCTTTATTATGTTAATGTAGTACATCACAATCCATAGCTTTCTGTATGTTCACGGATCTTTTGGATAAATCCAACTTGATCATGATGAATAATTCTGGTAATTTGCTATTGAAATTGTGAATATTTTGGTGAGAATGTGTGCATCTATAGTCATTAGGAATATTGGCCTATTTTCTTGACATGCCTTTATGTGGCTTGCATATCAAACTGATACTAGCCAAATTCAAGCTTTCATAACAATAATCTCATGGGAACTAATTTCAAAGGGCACACCCCAGCACCCAAGTACCTCCCATTAAAATCCATCATGTAAATGTTTAACCACTGCTGAATAGCATCCTGCTGCAGACCAAATATTTAACACAAGGATCTTTGAGGGATATTCAGCCTCCAAAACATAGAACAAAGTCACATCTCTCCTGGAGACTGGGGTGCTAACATGTCTGTATCAGTAGTGACTCTATGTCTGAAGCATGGTCATAGATGGTATAGTTCAGTAATCTGGGTCCAGAGTATGGGTACATGTGGAACATTAGTGACTTTAGGGTCTGGTTTCAATGTGGTTCACTGTGGAGGTGGTTTACATACCTGAGGCATAGGTGCTCATGTGGCAGCAGCATTGAGGTCCATGACACAGAGGCCTGCAGAGTGACCATGACTCTGATACCCAGAGTAGGAAAGAAGCTGTAACAATGCTTGCGGCACTTTTACCCATGTTTATATTATTTTAATAGAATAATAACAAAAAAACACTTTACCAAGGTAGTCTTTGACTCAGTGATATGGAGAACAGGACATGTTGAGAAAGGGAAGTGATGGTGGAAGCTCTCTTCAATATAAGAAATTAGACCACCACTATTTGAAGCCAAGGGCCTTTTACTGTCTTTCCTTAGAAGGGATACAATTATATATATATATATGGAAACATTACCTTTTATTCTTCAATAAAAGTTCTTTTGAAATATGAAACATTGTATTTCTTCAGAGTAAAACACCTGTGAGAAAGAATGGGGACTTTAAAAAAAAGAAACAGAACTCACAAATACCATGTCTTAAGAATTAAGTCTCCAGTCACCTTACCATATCAGCTGTAGGATTCATTAACTAAAGACACAGAGAAGTATCTAGTGATTTTCTTGCATTCAGGACCTTTTTAAATTTTTATGAATTCAGCATCAGGGTCTCTAGCTAAATTATTATAATAGATTGTTGGCTAAGACTTATAATTGAGTATCATTAGTTTTTATTATTTGGTGTGTTTCTTGAAGTCAACATCATATATAAAGATTATTATTTCAAAAGTACCCAGTTGTCAAAATCCAGAGGATAATACACTTTTTCCTAACAGCACAGCTTGGGAAAATATACTCATCAATGATGCCAAGTGAAATTAATTTAAAAAATAGAGTAAACTTGGTGATCAACTATCATATATAAAAACCTAGAAAAGAGTTAGATATAATTTAAAATTTATTTATTTTAAAACAAGATACAATAATTTGTATTCTATCCTATGCCATTTCTGCAATGCCAAGATGATGTGTGAAAATAAAGGAATATTTTGAGTTTCCCAGAAAATGCCAAATAACTGGTCTGAGTTCAATCTAACTAAATCACCTAATAAGCCAAATTTACTATGGCTTTTTGGCTATATAAACAGAACTAAAATCTATCAATAATTGAGACAAAAATTAAGTTATTTTCTATATTGGGAAGTATGACATTATACTTTAAAAACTTTAGGGGAAAAAAAGCATTACTTGAATCAAAAAACCAGACTTCTTAGGAACTTTTGTAGAAAGTTATAATCTAATCAAAAAGATTTTTTTGGAAACATAGCATAATAAAAGGAAAGTTTAAAAATGTGCACCTTCAGTTTATTCAATAGGTCACTGTTATACCATCTAATAAGATAACTAAAAACATGCAAGCAGCTGGTACTGCAGCTAGACAGATTAATGTAATAGTCTGTAGTCATACGTGCTGGCAAGGGCTCGCCTCTTTTGGCAAGGAGAAGGTCAGTTGCCCTTGGGAAGGTGGGGGGAGGATGGAGAAACAACATTCCTTCCACCATGTGGCCATGTGTGCTCCATTCCCTAAGTTAAACATCCACTGCAGCACACACAGGAAACTCTCTCTTCCTTCACATCTGGCAGTGTTCTCTCACATGTAACTTGACAAACAACATGTAACATTGGTCTGTAAAACCTGTAAGATGTACTGCATAAAACTAATAATATATTCTCACAACACATCACTGCAAATGAGTTGGAAGCCAAATAATTAAATTTAAACCAACACTTCCAAAGCAAGATGTGGCCTAAAACCATTCAGGCATCATATAACCCCATACAAGTGTCATAGGAGTTAAATCCGTTTGTTTTCTACCTCTCTGAATCAATGAAGGAAACCACAAAGAAATATAAATCATTGTAAAACCTCATAGGCCATAAAAATAAATCTGTGATTATTAGGCATATGAAGCTATAGTTAGGGTGCATAGATTTAAGTTCCATAATTTATTTGTTATAGTTCCAGATATCACTTCTTCTTCTACTTCTTTTTTTTTTTTTTTTTTTAAGTGAGAGAAACAGAGAGAAAGGTCTTCCTTCCATTGGTTCACCCCCCAAATGGCCGTTATGGCTGGCACACTGCACCAGTCTGAAGCCAGGAGCCAGGTGCTTCCCCATGGTCTCCCATGTGGGTGCAGGGCCCAAGTACTTGGGCCATCCTCCACTGCCTTCCCGGGCCACAGCAGAGAGCTGGACGTGAAGAGGAGCAACCGGGACAGAACTGGCGCCCCAACAAGGACTAGAACCCAGGGTGCCGGTGCCGCAGGTGGAGGATTAGCCTAGTGAGCCATGGCGCAGGCCCTGCATTTAGATTTTTCAAGGGCTTTGTTTTACATGCTTTACCCCAGTATTTAAGAGAGTTGTGGGAAGGAAGCAGATCAGACAATATAATGCCCTTTTTACAGATGAGAAACTAAATCGTTACCCTGGACATAAGCTCTAGTGCGTCAGTGGTAGGTTTAAGGCCTGAGCTGTCTGATTGTGAAGAAAGGTTAGGATTTCTGAGGCAGTTTACACAGTTGTCACACAAAAGGACTTCTGAACACTGGAAAATTTATGTTTTTTCAAATAACCTGTTACTAGTTAGTTTAAAAGAGATATAATGGGAACAGAAAAATAATTTTCATCTTCTAAAGCAAATTTTACTAATAATTCTGTTGCTATTTTAATATGATACTGCTACAGTTTTCTAGGTTTTGTCTATCAACATTAATAAGAAAATATACACCAGCACCATGCTTCTATGAATTCTACACTTAACCCAAGTGCCAAATTCACAATTAAGCTTATTATATTATAAGAGCTACTGCATACCTGGTAGAAAAATATTAATTTCACACTTTAAATACTATAATACTATTTAACAGCAGTGTTGGCCTGCCAACTATTGAAAGCCGGCTTTTACATAGTGTACTGTATTACCCTAACTTTTAATCTTGCCTTTTTATTACAACACTAAATTAATATGCTAACACAACAGTGACAAGCAGTGATTAAAAATATTTAGTGAACAGCAATAATATTTATTGTGCAAAGCTACCTTAGGAATTTTTCAAAACATAATTCAGTAATACTAATTTATTTTAATATTCAAGTATTCAAGGAAAAAATAAACTAAAAAATAACATTATATCTTTACAATACACCGTTTCTCTTTATATTGTGACTGTTATTTATTATAATTAAACTACAAATGAAACTGCAAGATGGAATTCACCAGTAAATTTATACACATATGAAGACATTTTTCTGCCCCTGAAATCCATGCTCTCCCTCCATTTTGACTTGGTGATTTTTATTATTATATTTACCCTTCCTAATACTACTGCCATCATATAGTTCACATATATCATATTAACATTCCTCAGCCACATGCTAAATCATTTATTTATTTATTTATTTAACTATCTTTTACATTCATATTTTTGCTTGCTGTGATCGGCTATAACAGGTTCAGATAGGGAATCTATCTATTATTTAACATTGCAAATTCTAGTTTTATATTACCCTTTAGGACTAAAAGTAGGATTTGGACAACTACAGCTTTTATTTAAGTAGGATGGGCAGGGCACAGTGAAAACCCACAACAGTATGGGTGCTTCACCACTGTGAGACTGCCCTTCCAGAATTCCACAGGCACATAAAGCTTTTGTAGAGTCTGTGACACTTGAGCGACTGACTAGTTACACTGATTCCGAGTGCTAGAAAATAAAGATGTCAAGTGTTTCACTTACCATCTCATTTCTGGAATTCATAAACAAATTGTAAAAATGTTCTCACTTGCCACATTCTGAAGTGCTTCCTGTATACAAAGCATCATTCTCCACATAAAGCCAGCCTGGGATCTGAGGAAATAAATGACACAGTCTCAGGAAGGATGATGGAATATAGATACAAATAAGAACACAAACTACCCAAATTCTCCATATTTACCATAGAAAAGTAGACAGTATAATATTCAAATGACTTTCAAGGTACACAATGCTTCTCACATATATTTTATAGAACTGTGAGACAAGCAGCAGAACTAATGTACCCTAAGCACAATGAACTCAAAGTATTTCTTCAAAAATATACATGGTCCTCTACAATGCTAAAATGTCCTAATATTGAATCCACACTTTCTTTTCCTAAAAAAAGTCAAGATCTTATGCAACTTAGTTCAGTATAGAAATTCTCAAAGAATACTGAAAATACTTTATACTTTGTTGTTCCTGGGTTTTCTTGTTATAATAAACTTTTACTGTTTATTATATTATGTTATCATAAATGCATCATGTTATCATAAACATTTACTAAAGAAAAATTCAAATTGTGAAGTGAATGGTAACAAAAAATAAATGAAATACACATTTCTTTACTCCTGAATCCTTTCAAATAATTACTGTTTGAGCCGTAACTGCCCTGTTTGCTGAAGAGCCCTAAAGGGGCATTAACAAACAGCACTTAATTAATCACATTTGCATTTTAACCTTTCTTAGGTACTCCGAAAGAAGTCTTTAGTACTTTAAAAGATATATGGGAAAAAGAAAAGACAAATTATAATAAAGGTTAATACTACATGTACATTTGTTCTAATCAGTGCACTGTAGGCTAGGAGAGCAACAGATATCTGATGTAAGCTCATTTACAAGAATTTGGGATATTATAGTTTCTGTTACTCATTATTTCTGCAGATAATCATATATCACAGTAATATTTAAATATTATCACATTATAAAAGCACAAGTCATAATTTCTCACTATATTCTAAGATTAGAATCCTCTAAGATACTGGATCTTATCCATTATCCTGTAATATTCTATATCTCTGTATTTACTACCTACCTACAAGAATTCTTTTTTTTGTTTGTTTTGTTTTTTGTTTTTTGACTGGCAGAGTGAACGGAGAGAGACAGAGAGAAAGGTCTTCCTTTTGCCATTGGTTCACCCTCCAATGGCCGCTGTGGCCCCTGCGCTGCAGCCGGCTCACCGCGCTGATCCGATGGCAGGAGCCAGGTGCTTCTCCTGGTCCCCCAGGGGGTGCAGGGCCCAAGCACTTGGGCCATGCTCCACTGTACTCCCTGGCCACAGCAGAGAGCTGGCCTGGAAGAGGGGCAACCGGGACAGAAAACAGTGCCCCGACCTGGACTAGTACCCGGTTTGCCGGTGCCGCAAGGTGGAGGATTGATTAGCCTAGTGAGCCGCGGCGCCAGCCTACCTACAAGAATTAAGTCTCTGATTCAGAGTCCAAAGCAGAACGTGGTTCTTCTTCCATTTTTATTACAATCTCCTGGAAAAAATTTAAAAACACACTAAAGTAATGGAGATTACAAAGCAACATTTCAGTTAAGAAACAGCTGTGTAACAGTTCTATGCAGTATATTAGCCAAAAATAAAATGTCCCCTTGCCCCTTCCCTAAATTATCTTCTGTTCTTCTTTTAGGAAAAATACTCATCTTGAAGCCACAATATAAACCAACAGTACTCCTAATTTGCATAATAATGCTATCAATATAATTACTAAGAAGAATAAATGAGTATAGTACAGGTTTTTTTCTTACAAATTTATACATTTCAACTTCGTCTGTAAAATAAAAATACTTTTACTAAAGAAACTGAAAATGCTAATCAATGCCAATATAATATATATAACATATATATTAAGTATAAATATAAGTTCTCATAACACATATTGCAAAGTTTAGTTATGAAACAATAGTTCCTCATGATTAAACAGAGCATTCGTTCTTCAAAAAAATTATTATAAAACTGACAGAAAATCCTAAAATGCATAAACCACTTAGTTACATGCTAGCATTTTCATAAAAGGGAGTTTTCTGTTGGTGAGCAAGTCTCCATGCTAACAGCTGGGACAGCCAAAGAAAAAACTCAGGAGAGAACAGACCCGGAAGGTTTTCCAGCTCCCATTTCTCCACCTGCTAGAAATGGAGGAGGCAGAGATGAACAGAAAGCAGATTTGGTAGGCGGTGGCCAGAAACAGATTTTAGGGCGGCAGGGGCGGCGTGGGGGCCGCGTCCACTAGCCAAGGGCAGCTGAGGGGCCGGGCGGGCCGAGCGCAGAGCCGCCCGCGCCTCCTGTCTGTCCTCTGGCAGCTTCCTGAGCCGCCGAGGCCGGCATCCTGCGCTGGGCTGGCGCCCTTCAGGTACAGGATCCCGCAGTCCTCGGCCACCAGGACTCCAGGCTGCCGACGACGGAGCTGCGCGGGGCAGCGGGTCGGGGTCAGGGCGGCCGCGCCCGGCCCGGCCCAGGCCTCCCCCGCGGGCCTCGGGGATCCGGGGGTCCCAGCTCGGGCGAGGCGCGGGGAGCTGGGGAGGGGCGCGGGCTCTGGGGAGGGGCGGGGGCGCTGGGGAGGGGGCCGCGGGCGCTGGGGAGGGGCGGGGGCTCTGGGGAAGGGGCCGCGGGCGCTGGGGAGGGGCCGCAGGGCTCTGGGGAGGGGGCCGTGTTGCAGCCCCTCGGGCCCCCGCAGGACGGGTCTGGCGATGGCTATGGTGACGGTGATGGTGTTCACGGTATTCGTGGTGATGATAATGTGGTGTTGATGGTGTTGGTGATGGATGTGTGTGGTGTGGCGGCTGCGGAGCCCCGGGGCCCAAGAAAGACCCAGAGTGGGCCAGCAGGGGGAGCCCGGGCGAGCGGTACCCGCCCCGCCTCCTGCCCGCCCTGCCCGCCCTGCCCGTCCTGGCCCCTCCCTGCCCCCGCCCGCCCCGCCTCCCGCCCGTCCTGCCCGTCCTGGCCCCTCCCCGCCCACTCACAGGAAGAGGTTCTCCAGGACTTAGTGGTAGTCCGGGCAGCTGCTGTCCTGGAGGAAGCTGGCGGCATAGATGATGATGGCGTTGAGGCCCTCGCTGTGGTAGCCTGTGAGGGCGGCCGTCGCTGGGCTCTGAGCCACGCAGGGGCACGGAGGGTCTTCCGGGCCCAGCAGGGGGTCTGGCGTCCCGGGTGACCACGGGTACCTGGGGGGGGGGACTCATCTCCGTGTGTGACCACGGATACCCGGGAGGGGTCTGACCTCCGTGGGTGACCACGAGTACCTGGGGGGGTCACCTCTGTGGGTGACCATGGTACCGGGGGGGGGGCCTGACCTCCATGGGTGACCACAGGTACCTGGGAGGGTCCGACGTCTGTGGGTGACCATGGGTACCCAGGAGTCTCACCTCCGTGGGTGAGCACTAGTACCCGGGGTGGCTTCACCTCCATGGGTGAGCACATGGTAACTGTGGGGGGCTCACCTCCATGGGGGACCACGGGTACCCGGGGGGGGGGGGTGTCTGACCTCCATGGTTACCACATGGTAACTGAGGAGGCCTCACCTCCGTGGGTGAGCACGTGGTAATGGGGTGGCCTCAACTCCGTGGGTGATCATGGGTACCGGGAGGGCCTCCCCTCCGTGGGTGACCACCTTCATGTGCGGCCGGATCATGTGCAGGTCGATGCGGTGCTCCTGCTCCCCATGATGACCGTGAGCCACAGGTGCCCGTTGGCTGCACCGCTGTCCTCTGCCACACCGTCTGCAAACAGATCTGCGCTGTCCCCAGGCATGTTCTTGGCGGTGGCCACCAGGGTGTCATCTGGAAGCAGCACCCCTGGGGCTGGACGTGTCGGCCTCTCACAGCCGCCTTCATTCTCCTGACCTGGCTGCCTGCCCCCTTACTGGACCTGGCTCAAGTGCCACCTCCTCCAGAAAGCCTTCCTTGATTGCACCTCCGGTACACTTGACTCCTAACACTTCCTGGGTCGCTTCCCCTTTAACTGAAGCAAACAGCCAGAGGCCCAGGGGGTCACGGTGGGCTGCTCCGTGTCCCCCACCCCTCAGCAGAGCCACATTGCTGACAGCAGCGCGGGAACTAGGGTCCACAGCTGTGCCATGGAAGACACAGTGCTGGGGGCAGAAGTCAGACCCAGCTGCCTTCCGGGTCACTCCCCAGGCCTGCAGTGCTGGGGCGGGAGCGCCACTGGGGTCCCCTGTGCTGGCAGGTAGCGCCCAAGCCACCCCGGCAGCCAGAATCCTGAGCAGAGCTGGGACTGGAACCCGGGATCTGATGGGGGGAGCGGGCGTCCTCCCGGCCTGCCCTGGGGTCCTGCACACAGCGCTCCCCTCTCGGGCTCGGCCGCTGAGCTCTGACCTGAGCGCTGGGCGCCGCGTCCAGCGGGGACCTGGGGGCTCCTGTTTGGTGTGGGGATTGAGACCAGGGCATCCCGGGTCAGACTGTGTTCCGGGCCCAGCTCCCTGCACATGCGCACCTTGGGAGCAGCGGTGAGGGCTCAAGTGTGGGGGCCCCTGCAGTTCCAGCATCCCATATGGGCACAGATTTGAGTCCTGGCTACTCCACTTTTGACCTAGCTCCCTGCTAACATGCCTAGGAAAGCAGCACAAGATGGCCCAAGTACCTGAGCTCCTGAAACCACGTGGGAGACTGGGAAGAAGATCCTGGCTCCTGGCTTTGAATCAGCCCAGCTCAGACCATGTGGCCACTTGGGGAGTGAACCAGAAGGTGGAAACGCTCTCTGTCTCTCCCTCTCTCTCTGTCTCTTCCTCTTTCTGTAACTCTGCCTTACAAATAAATAAATACATCTTTAAAAAAAAGAAACAAACTGGGATGGAGGAGCTGGTAGGCTCTAAAGACAAAGAAAAGGAAAGGGAAGGCCTAGTTCTATTGCTTGCTCAGTTTATGATGTGTTTGTATTCAAATATTCCACTATACCCAATAATAATATACAAGTGGCATATGGAAGACTTTCTCTTTCTCTCCCTCTTACGGCCTGTGACTCTACCTCTCAACCAAATAAATAAAAATCTTTTAAAAAAAATAGATCAGGCACTCATGTTGAGGTTGCCACTGAAGGCACAAGCCTCCTGCACAGCTGGGTAGCAAATGTCTTTTCAAAGATGTTGTCCTGGATGGCAGAAAACTGGATCCAGGGTTTGTGGGTGTCCAGGTCAAAGCCCGTGGAGAGCCCCTGCAGAGATCCAGGCTAGCAGCATGGGACCAGCTCCCCACTGGGTCCTTGCATGCCAGCTCCCACCCCCAGAAGCCTCCCAGGCTTCTACACAGGGTCCCCCTTCATGTTTCAGATGAGTTAGCAGATGTTGGCAGTGCGGGGTGCAAATGAGGCTCTTTGGCTAGAGCCCAGCAGTTCTCCTATCTGGGTTGCTCAGGTGCTCAGAAAGGCATGTGGTCACCACATGGACCTCATTCTCACCTAGGAATAAGAGGGCCCTCCCCCAGCCTGTGCTCCTCTCAGACCCCTCCCTTGCACAGCCCCATTTTCTGAGGAATAGCAGACACAGGATATTTTCCCATCTGTGTCCTTCCCTCATGGTCACGGCCCTGAATGCATTCTGGTCTGATCAGTACAATGACTCACTTTCTTGACATCCTTCCTCTTTCCACACTGAAAACTCTTCAAGAAAGAGACCACATCTTGTTCCTTTGGGATCCCTGACCCCTAAAAAGAGGTTCAACATACAGCAGGAGCTTAGCAAGTATCCACCAAGGAGCAGAGCTGAGGATGGGGTGCACTGATGTGGACACCTGTGGAGCTCCCCAGTGAGGGCAGCCAGCACCAAGCTCTTCCTGCAGCCCACCTGCTCAAAATGCTCACCAGGACACCCTGCAAGGAAGCCACACAGGGGTCTGCCTCTTGCAAAGCAAGGGGGAGGAGGGGCAGCAGCCCTCACTCCGGAGGCTCAAGACTGCCAGTTCTCCCACTGAGGCTTCTCTCTAGGCCCCAGTTACACTGGAGGGAAAGAATTCTCCACTTAGAGGATGATTGCTGCCCCTATGACTGATGCTTTGTTGAATCGAGAGGATCCTGGCTCAGTGACTCCTGTCCTTCCTCCAGGAAGTCCACAAACACAGCAGCAGGGACCCTGAGAATACCTGTGGTATCTGGCAGACCTAGCAGTCCAAGTGCCGGGTCCCACCTCCCATGGTCTTCATAAGGAGCCCTCCACAGCTGTGCCCCATCCTGCCAGTGTACCTGGAAGGCATGGGCCAGGTAGGGTGGATGTAGCCTATGGAGAAGGTGGCAAGTACCCAGGAGCTGCTGGACTTTACTGCAGGTCCCATGGGTCATTGGGGGTGCTAAGCAGTCACAGAAAAGTAGAAGAAACAGTGCACTCTATCTTCAGCCTCATCAGGTTCTTGACACTCAGTAGGAGGGACTCCTGAGCAAGAGTGCTCAAGGATCCTGGGGACAGTCAGCTGTTGGATGAGAAGGCACAGATGGGCCAGAGTCCATGCGATAAGTGTGGTCAGAAGAGTGTTTTGCTGACAATGCCATTGCAGGGTCAGCATTAGAGCTGGGACTGGGAGGAGGAAGCCATAACCAAGGTGAAAGGCTTCTGGGAGTGGTCAGGAGGGGAATGAGCCAGTTGCATGTCCCCTGCCAGTACTTCTAGCCCTACAGGCCCTGGGCCTGCCCCTGGGGACAAAGAAAATGGAAGGAGGTATAGCATGGGGGCATGGAAAGCAAGAAGGAAGCTGTGATTCAGAGGCACCAACCTGGCCTTCTGGGGACAAGAGGGAAGAAAAGAAAGGGAGGCACATGCTGGCTGACTTAGATAACATACCCCTCACCTACAATAACCCACATACCTCCTGGGAATCAACTCCTCTTCTTGCCTGTACATCTTATCCCCAGGGTGTTTTCTAACAGGAAGTCTTCCACATTGACCTAATACATTTTCTAGACTATCTATACTGTTTCTTTTTCTTTAATTTTCATATATTTGAGAGGCAGAGAAACAAAGATAAAGAAAGAGGCTGTGGCACATGGGTTAAAGCCCTGGCTTGAAGCGCCGGCATCCCATATGGCGCCAGTTCTAGTCCCTGCTGCTCCTCTTCTGATCCAGCTCTCTGTTATGGCCTGGAAAAGCAGTAGAAGATGGCCCAATTCCTTGGGCCCCTGCACTCATGTGGGAGACCCAGACGAAGCTCCTGACTCCTGGCTTCAGATTGGCTCAGTTCTGGCCATTGCGGCCATCTGGAGAGTGAACCAGCAGATGGAAGACCTCTCTCTCTGTCTCTACCTATCTCTGTAAATCTCTCTTTCAAATAAATAAAATAAATATTTTTTAAAAAAGTGGCAAAAAGGTCCTATGTACTTATTCACTCCCTAACAGACTACAACAGCCAAGGCTGGGCCAGGCTTAAGCCAGGAGCCCACAGCCCAATATGGGTTCCTATGTGGGTGGTATCAGTATTTGAGCCATGACGTGCTACCTCCCAGGAAGCTGGAATCTGAACTGGAGGTGGGACTTGAACTCAGGCTCTCTGATAAGGCAGCATTGTTAACTGTTGCATCACAATCCTTCTCCCAATTTTACACAAAAATCCACCTCAGATTCCATTAAATTCACCTCAAGTACTATAGGATTAATCCATATTTGAATTATATGGGGGTCCTATATACTAGCCTACATCTTATAAAGCTTCAAACTATTCTACTCTCTATCTCCACTGATTATAGAAGGTGGTGGGAATCACTTCTGTGATTTCTTTAGGTGAAGAAAACCCCATTTATCTTTTTGGCATATGGAAATTAATTTTAATAAACAGAAGGTTATCTGTCCACCTTAAGAATCAAATACAAGAAACTGCACCTGCAACAGTGACGAGCACAATGCCTTGAAGGTTCATATAAAAAGGGGATTAGGGATGGATGATTGGTGCAGCAGTTAAGAGACCCACATCGTATATCAGTGTGCCTGGTCCAAGTCTCATTTCCATGCCAATCCAGGTGGCTGCTAATGCACACCCCGAGAAGGCAGCAGAAGACAGTGTTACAGGGAAATGGTGGGACAAACATTTGGGGGGAACATTTTCTACCCTCAATTTCCAGACTGCTTATTAACCCATGACTCCTCTCAAAATAGCTCAGAAATCTGGGTCCCTGCCACCCACATGTTAGACTCTGATTGAGTTCTAGCCCCCTGCCCAGCCCTGCTTGTTGTGATCATTTGAAGTGCGGGGGAAGTAGTGAATGGAATTTCTGTCTCTGTCATTCAAATAAAATATAAATAATTAGATACTTTTTTTTTTTGACAGGCAGAGTTAGACAGAGAGAGAACGAGGGAAAGGTCTTCCTTCAATTAGTTCACCCCCCAAATGGCCGCTATGGCCAGCGTGCTGCGCCAATCTGAAACCAGGAGCCAGGTACTTCCTCCTGGTCTCCCAGGCAGGTGCAGGGCCCAAGCACTTGGGCCATCCTCCACTGCCCTCCCAGGCCACAGCAGAGAGCTGGACTAGAAGAGGAGCAACCAGGACAGAAACCGGTGTCCCAACTGGTACTAGAACCTGGGGTGCCAGCCCCACAGGCGGAGGATTAACCAAGTGAGCCACGGTGCTGGCCAATTAGATACAATTTTAAAACTAAATAAAAAGAAGACTGAATCTGTTATGCCTTTTTTGGCAGTGTTCAGTTACTGAGAAAGTTTAGTTGTAAGCAAAATGCTTTGAGCGTTCTTAAAATTCCACCTGATGGCAGTTATATGGACTGGTTTAAGTTGAAACCAAAAACGACCTTTAAGAATTTTATTTCGGGGGGCCAGCATTGTGTCACAGAGGGTAAAGCTGCTGCTTGCAATGTCAGCATCCCCTATGGGTGCGGGTTAGTGTCCTGGCTGCTCCATTTCGATCTAGCTCCCTGCTAATGGCCTGGGAAAGCAGCAGAAAATGGCCCAGGTACTTGGGCCTCTGCTACCCATGTGGGAGGCCAGATGAAGCTCCTGGCTCCTGACTTCATTGAGGCCATCTGGGGAGAGAGCCAGTGGATGAAAGATTCTCTCTTCTCTCTCTCCCTCCATTCTTCCCTCTTCTCTCTCTCTCTTTCCCTCCTTCACTCCCTTCTTCCCTCTTCTCTTTCTCTCTCACTATAACTCTGACATTCAATTAAATAGACTTCATGGCTGCCTAGTAAGTTGTTGTTTCAATTTTAGCCACTCTACGCAAACACAACATCTTACACAGAAATAGCTAAAGTGTGTTTCATTGCATGTACACAAGCAGAATAGAGTAAATTTATGTGTGGGAATCTGAGGGCCAGAGGAAAAGTGGATGCTTTAGAGAGGTCACTTCAGAAAGAAGGATAAGAGGGCAATGATTTCGCCTAATATTCCTCTTCCTCCCTTGCTGTCTTCCACCACAATCCATGGCCCAACTCAGTGCTCAGGCACACCAGAAAGACCCTACTTTCCACTATCATCTGATGTATGAGCAAGAGAATATGATAGCCTCATTTTCATAACACCCAAGTGTCATTTTCTCTAATTGTTGTCTTTTCAAGAAGCAGAGACAGAGATAGGAAAGTAAATAGAGTTCCCAACTGCTGCTTTACTCTCCAAATGGTCAGAACTGACCCCTGCTGAAACTGTAAGCTTAAAACTCAATCCAGGTATCCCATGTAGGTGTCAGGAACTGAACTATTAATGCCATCACCATTGCTTCTTAGGTTCTTCACTAGCAAGATGCAAGAGTCAGAAATCAGCTGATAACTGAATGCTGGTACCATGATATGGGACATGGGGGTCTCAGCCGGCATCTTAACCACTAGGTTAAATGCCCACTCCCTTGTGTTCTTATTTTTTAAGGATTTATTTGTTTATTTGAAGGCAGAGAGAGAGAGAGAGAGAGAGAGAGAGGTCTTCCATCAACTGGTTCACTCCCCAAATAGCCACGACAGCCAGAGCTGTGCTGATCTGAAACCAGGAGCCAGGATCTTCTTTCAGGTCTCACATGTGAGTGCAAGGGCCCAAGGACTTGGGCCATCCTCCACTGCTTTCCCAAGCCATAGCAGAGAGCTGTATCAGAAGTGGAGCAGCTGAGACTCAAACTGGAACCCATATGGCATGCCAGCACTGCAGGTGGTGACTTCATCTGCAATGCCAAAGCACTGGCCCCCTGTGTTCTTATTTTTGATATGATGTTTGCAAAGGGAGTCACACTATCAATAGCATATTTCCTGATGGTCACAGCTAACCAACTAGTATATATTTTCTTAGAATATGGAGAAGAAAAGATCATTTGAAATAATTCCTCTATCCAATATTATTTGATCTCTTAGTTTCACCTAGTTTCCTAGGTGAATGTTCACACCTTGATGAGCCCAAAGGTACAAGTTTGCTTCCTTCTTTCCACTTTGAGGAATCATTCTTAAGTGGAGGATCAGGTAGGAAGAGGGGAATCCGGAGAGGAGAACTCATTGATCACTGCACACTTCATAGTTCTCAACTGGAGGGATGGACAAATATTCCAAAATATGTGTGACCAAAGGAAGACTGTAGAACTTTGAAAACTGATTGCACACTCATTGTACCCAGATGTGATATGAATTATGCATGAATGCAGTATTACTCATTTTTTTTTCAGAGAGAGACACACATTACCACAATGAGATGGATACCTAAGACAAGTTACTTGTGGGGGAATGATGTTTATTTTCCCTTATGGCTTTGTAGGTATATTTTGTAGGTATATTTGTAGGTATATTTTGAAGCTAATTGCTTCCACAAGGCCCCAGCTCTAGACATCACAATCGGATTATGTTTCCACCCATTTACTATCATTAACATAAGACTTGGGGAACCATACCTTTAAAGATGTGCCTTTGGGCCCACACCCTAACTAATATCCAAACCATAGTGAATGAGGTGGGCAGGTTCAGTTAAGTGCCTAGCAGCAAGTTTGAAGGAAAGGAAGAAAATGTGGTAATTTCTGAGGGTTAAAAAAGAATTATCTCAGCAAAATAGCTTCCCAAGTCAGTTCCTCTTTTGGCTAATCTTTCTGTGCACACTTTGCCCCATGGTTATCAGCAAGGCGATTTGCTAAAGAGCAAGTGGGCAAGCACACCTAGAGCTGGATTTGACGAGGTCACTGCCACACAAAAGTGTCCATCCTGCCCCTATCTTTTTCCTGCAACTTTATCAGTTGAAAGGCTACTTGGAGGGGCAGCGCTGTGGCATAGCGGGAAAAGCCACCACCTGCAGTGCCAGCATCCCATATGGGTGCCGGTTCGAGTCCTGACTGCTGCACTTCTGATCCAGCTCTCTGCTGTGGCCTGGGAAAGCAGTACAAGATGCCCAAGCACTTAGGCCCCTGCATCCATATGTGAGACCTGGAAGAAGCTCCTGGCTCCTGGCTTTGGATTGGCGCAGCTCCGGCCATTGCAGTCAATTGGGAAGTGAACCAGTGGATGGAAGACCTCTCTATCTGCCTTTCCTTCTCTCTCTGTGTAACTCTGACCTTCATATAAATAAATAAATCTTAAAAAAAGAAAGGTTACTTGGAGTGGTATGAGTCTGAAGGGTGGGAAGGGAACAAGAGGTATGCCCATCCATGCCACTTGACATCTGATTCTCTTTCCAAAAATCACATGTAATGTAAGTGGAATTAAATAAGGAGTCTCTTTCATCTGGCTTCTTTCATTTGACATGTTTTTGAGGTTCATTCATGTAACCTATATCAGTAGTTAGTCAATATGTTTAAAAAAGAGAATTTTGTTGAGAAACAATTCACATAACATTCACCCACTTACAGCATATAATTCAATGATTTTCGCATATTCTCAGATATGTTCACAATGAATTTTAGAACATTTCATCTCACAAAGAAACCCTGTGCCCTTTATTAATCCCTTATTCTTGAAAGTGCCCCTATTCAACTCCAATTCTTTCTTTCTTTCTTTCTTTCTTTCTTTCTTTCTTTCTTTCTTTCTTTCTTTCTTTCTTTCTTTCTTTCTTTCACAAGTAGAGTGGACAGTGAGAGAGATAGACAGAGAGAAAGGTCTTCCTTTTCCATTAGTTCACCCCTCAATGGCCACTGCAGCCAGTGTGCTGTGGCTGGCGCACTGCGCTGATCCAAAGCCAGGAGCCAGGTACTTCCTTCTGGTCTCCCATGCAGGTGCAGGGCCCAAGCACTTGGGCCATCCTCCACTGCCCTCCTGGGCCACAGCAGAGAGCTGGACTGGAAGAGGAGCAACCAGGACAGAATCCAGCTCCCCAACCAAGACTAGAAGCCAGGGTGCCGGCGCCACAGGCGGAGGATTAGCCTATTGAGCTGCGGCGCCAGCCTCAACTCAAATTCTAATCTACGATATGTCTCTGTAGATTTTTTTCTTTGCATGCTTTGAGCTCTTTAATTTTTTTAAATTTATTTTTTAAGTAATACAAATTTCATAAGTACAACTTCAGGAATATAGTTATTCTTCCACCTCCTCCTCCTCCATCTCTAGATTTTCCTATTCTGGACTCTCATATGAATTGAATACTATCATATGGACTTTTGTGACCATTTTAATCACTCGTGTGTGTCTGTAACTCTATGGCAGTGAGTACATTCACACTGTTGCAATTCCATCTTCACTACCATCTCCAGTATGTTTTCATCTGCTAAGCCCAAACTCTGTACCCATTAGGTGGCATTCTATTTTATGGAAAGAGAAAACTGTATGAAAGGAATTTATGGAAATTGAATACCTGGGTACTGATTTTGATTAAATTATCCTTGCTGTGACTCCCTGGGAAAGTGTACTTACATCCCAGTGTGCTGTCATGGATGACTCCAACACCGTCTCTAATCTCCTTTACCTTCTCTCCTTCTCACTCGCTTTTGATGACATTGCTTCTCAATAAGCAGAATAAATAAGGGCACCCACCACCACACCTACCCATTAATAGGAGCAGTGGGTACTCTGCCTGCCCTTCCCCTATTAAATATGAACTGTCTGTCCTCTCGTGGCCCATTCCTTGACACGGATCTAGATCTTTTTTTCACTCAACTACTCAAGGACAGTGGACCTACCAGCCATTTACACATTTAACTGAAATTTTTGCCAATATCTTAAATCAGCAGCAGCAGCTTATACATCAGGCTACATTATTTGGTAAATCAAAAGCAAAACCTGAGCACCCTTTTCCCTTCAACCACTGCCCCAATTCTCTGTTCCTTTGTACAGAAAAAAATCACCAAAGAATTACCTGCAGTTTCTCTCTCCACTTTCTCTTCTCTCAGTCCCTCTGAACACACTCTAATAAGGCTTTTGATCACATACTCTGCTGCACTGCTCTTTTCAAGGTCACTAATAACCTTCAAGAAGTTAAACTAAATGAACAAAATTAAATGGTAATTCTTTAGACCTTATTTCACCTACCATTCACAGTTATTTATTACTGTACACCATTTCCCCCACATTTAATAGCTTAAAAGCAAGAAACACACCATCTTCTCTGGGTGAGAAATCCAGAAATGTTGACATACATAGTTCTGTACCTGGTTTCCACAAGCAGCTGCATCGAGCTGTTGGCTGGGCTGCAGTCATCTGAAGGTATGGCTGAGGCTGGCAGATTCACGTCCAGTACACTCACTCGCGTGCCTAGAAACGCAGTGCTGGTTGTTAGCAGTCGGACTCAGTTGTGCACCATGTGGATTTCTCTGTGAGGGCTGTCTGAGCGCTCCCAAAGTTGCGATGCTGGCTTATTCTCCAGAACTTATTTAAAAGAGAGCAAAGGAGAAATTTAAATATCTTTTAGGATCTGGCCTCATAAGTCCCACTCCATAGTTTCTGGAATATCTTCTAGATTACGTAGGTGAGTCCTAGTCAGTGTGGGAAATGACTGCACTGGGGCTGGAGCACCAGGACATGAGTCATTGGGAGCCATCCCGGAAACTGACACAGTGGTGTGACTCCATTGATTGTTCCCTTCCTCTCCTTCCTCTGTCAGTCCTGTTTCTGTTTTTGTTCTTGTTCCTGTTTCAGTTCTTCTTCTTCTTCTATGTCCCAATATTATTTTTAAAAAGGTTTATTTTATTTATTAGCAAAGCAGGGTTTACAGCAGAGAGGGAGGGATGGAGGAAGATAAATAAATATATATGCATATATATGTGTGTATATATATGTATATATATATATGGAGAGAGAGACAGAGACAGAGAGCGAGAGAGAGAATATGTCATCCACTAGTTCAGTCCTTAAATGGCCTCCACTTTGGGCTTGGCAAGGCCAAAGCCAGGAGCCTGGGACCCCATCCAGGTCTACCATGTGGGTGGTAGGGGCCCAATTACTTGGGTCATCCTCTGATATTTTTCTAGATGTATTTGCAGGGAGCTGAATCAGAAATGCAGCAGCCAGGACTGGAACTGGGACTCATGGAATGCTGGCCTTGTGGGTGGTGGCTTGACATGCTGTGCCACAACATATTAATGATATATGGATATAATTGTAGTTTTTGACATTCAGTGAAAGGAAAGGCCATCACAAAAAAATCTTAAAAATATTAAGAAAATTAATTAGCCAATAGGCACTCTCAAGAAATTAAAACAGAATCATCTTTACAGAGTTCATAGAACTTACAAAGGTGCTAAGAGAGCTTTATGAAATTCTTAGGGGTGAAAATTTGACTACAGACACTAAAATCCACTATATTCTGAAAAACAGTTTCCCGAAACACAAATATAACATAGAATTAAAAAAAACTATAAAGACTAACAAACTGAGCCAAATTTTGAAGAACTTGAAAACGACTTATGGAATATTCCAAACTTTCAAGGAAGGAAAAAACATTTGTTCCCCACACTTGCCCCAAGTGAAAATAAGTAGAATATTTTTAAATTTCTTTTGGGAAACCACTATTACACAGATGATGAAACTCGGAATATGATACAAATTAAAGTGAAATTAAAGAGCCTCTTGTTCAAAAAGATATGCAAATATTCTTTTTTTAAAGATTTCTTTTATTTATTTGAAAGACAGAGTTACAGAGAAAGGTAGAGACAGAGAGAGAGGTCTTCCATCCACTGGTTCACTCCTCAGATGGCCTCAATGGCTGGAGCTGTGCTGATCTGAAGCCAGGAGCCAGGTGCTTCTTCCAGGTCTCCCATGTGGGTGCAGGGGCCCAAGGATTTGGGCCATCTTCTACTGCTTTCCCAGGCCATAACAGAGAGCTGGATTGGAAGCAGAGCAGCTGGGACTAGAACCACTGAGACTAGAACTGGTGCCATATGAGATGCCAGCACTTCAGGCCAGGGCTTTAACCTGATGCGCCATAGTGCCGGCCCTGATATGCAAATATACTAACCAAATATCATATAAATTTGGGCCCCTTGCTGTGGCATAGTGGGTAAAGTCATTGCCTGCAGTGCCAGCATCTCATATGGGCACAGATTCACATCCCGGCTGCTTCCCTTCCAATCCAGCTCTCTGCTATGGTCTGGAAAAGCAGTGGAAGATGACCCTAATCCTTGGGCCCCTGCACCTCTGTGGGAGACCTGGAAGATGATCCAGGCTCCTGGCTTTGGATCAATCCAGCTCCAGCTACTGCAGCCATTTGAGGAGTAAACCAGCAGACGAAGACCTGTCTCTCTCTCTCTCTGCCTCTGCCTCTGCCTCTCTCTAACTCTGCCTATCAAATAAATAAATATTTTAAAATATTATATAAACCACATATGAAAAACTAATAGATCAATGACAAGCAAGATACACTAAAAAGTGTAAGAGTATTTAACATTCTCAAAAAAACATGTAAATCATCCAGGTAGGTGAAGAATACAAGGGATTACATGATCACTTAGATTAAATGTTTAAAAAGCATTGAATAAAATTCTGCATCCAGCCATAAAAGCCAAATGTTAGCAAAATATTTAAAAATAATGATTTGCTTAATCAGATCAAGATTATGTAAAATTAGCATGCAATAAATTACTTAAGGAGCACTGAGAGATCTTTCCTTGGACGCCCACCTCTCATAACATTGTACTGGACCTATAGTCAGGGAAACAAAGACATGTAAGATAAAAGAATCACATTTTTTTGCAATACAATTGTTAATATATGTGGATGACATTACATACAAAGATAATTCAATCTAATCCCCAAACAAATGCAACTGATAATTAGCTATAGCAACACTTCTGGGCAGTAGATCCACATATAAAGCCAATTGGATTACTAAGTACCAGCGAGAAACAAAGTGGACAAAAGACAGACTAGGAAACACATATTTACAAGAGAAATGAATCAGAAAAGGATTCAATCATCTAATACCTTTATGCACTCTTCAAATCAATTTATAGAACGTAAATGACCATACAGAAAAATGACCCAGGAATGTGAAGAAAGACAAGGGCCCAGGAGTCACAGTCAGCAAATAGAGACTCGCCTGCAGCAGGTCATTGCAGGCTCCAGCTCACGGATCCCTGTGGGAACAGAGGTGCAGCGGCCTGGGCTGCAGCGGAAGACAGAAAGGGGGAGGAGGCAGCTTCAGACCACAGCCCAAGCTTCTCCCCTCACAACCCCCACACTGCACACCCCAAGTCACCGCCCTCCTCTGATTGGCTACACCTTTGTGACGTGGAACACTCCCCCTCCAGCTTTGCAAACAATCCAATCAGGTGCGCCCACGCAGTATTACGTAAACACGCGGGCTCTTCGCGTCACAGTGGTAGTCAGGCTCTGCCGCCCAGGGGGCCAGGGTGTTCAGCCTCTTCCCGTCTGTGAAAAGGAAGCCGGACGGCTCAGAAGTTTGGTGTCTGGAGAAAGGGAGGCGGAGTTGGCGGACCTGCTGGAACTGGATGCAGGGGGCCATGCACTTCCCCATGGTCGGCTCTGGAATCTGTGGCCATGGCCTTGGGCAAAGTACAGTGAGTGGCGAGCTTGATCATCTTCCCCTTTACCTCCAGGCCAGGGAGGCCAGAGCACAGCCTGCAGGGGGACGATGCTGAGGTGATGTTTCCAGGTCTCTTGCTGACGTTTTTTGCTAAGAATGCAATTTTTCTTCTCAATCAGCATGGTATGTTAAAGTGAATCTGTTGGGGCCAGTGTTGCGGTGCAGTAGGGTAAGCCACAGCTAGGGGCCCTGCATCCCATACTGGATGGCCAGTTTGAGGCCCAGCTCCTCTGCTTGTGATCCAGTTACCTGCTATTGTCGACTTTTAGGGTATCAATACAATTCATTTGAACTCATTGTTTTTTAAGTATTAAGCCGGCGCCGTGGCTCACTAGGCTAATCCTCCACTTGAGTGCCGGTACCCTGGGTTCTAGTCCCGGTTGCTCCTCTTCCAGTCCAGCTCTCTGCTGTGGCCTGGGAGTGCAGTGGAGAATGGCCCAAGTGCTTGGGTCCCTGCACCTGCATGGGAGACCAGGAGGAAGCACCTGGCTCCTGGCTTCGGATCAGCACAGCGGCGGCTGTAGCGGCCATTAGGGGAGTGAACCAATGGAAGGAAGACTTCTCTCTCTCTCTCTCTCTCTCTAACTCTGCCTGTCAAAAAGAAAGAAAGAAAGAAAGAAAGAAAGAAAGAAAGAAAGAAAGAGAGAGAGAGAGAGAGAGAGAGAAAGAAAGAAAGAAAGAAAGAAAGAAAGAAAGAAAGAAAGAAAGAAAGAAAGAAAGAAAGAAAGAAAGAAAAGAGAAAGAGAAAGAAAGAAAATGAGTTGGCAAGTGTAAATATGTTGGTAGAGTTTTGTGTTTTGGTAGAGTCTGAAAAATATTGTTATTACTTCTTTAAATGTTGCATAGAATTCACAAAGGAAAGCATCTGGTCAGGACTTCGTGGTAATGTTTTAAATTATTAATTACATTTATTATTATTATTATTTGATTTTTGACTGCTTTAGGCTACTAATATTTTTAGTTTCTTCTTGAGAGTGACAATTTGTAATTTTCTAGCAATGTATGTATTTCATATAAATTGTTGGATCTTTTGACATCTTGATTCACAATATTCCTTTATAATCTTTTAAATTTCTGTAAAATTATTGGCAATATACCCTTCTTCATTTCTTAGTTTATGAACTGTGTCTCTTCTGTTTTGGTCTTGGTCTAAGAAAAATCATCCCATCTTGTTGACCTCTGCAACAAACCAATTTTTGTTTCACTGCTTTTCTCTTTTGCTTGATGCCCCATACTTAAAGAGGTCTGGCAATGTAACCATTTCTGTGTGGACATCTATATCTTATAACTGACTGGGAAGGCCGGCGCCATGGCTCACTAGGCTAATCCTCTGCCTGCGGCGCCAGCACACCAGGTTCCAGTCCCCGTCGGGGCACGGGATTCTGTCCTGGTTGCTCCTCTTCCAGGCCAGCTCTCTGCTGTGGCCCGGGAGTGCAGTGGTGGATGGCCTAGGTCCTTGGGCCCTGCACCCCATGGGAGACCAGGAGAAGCACCTGGCTCCTGCCATCGGATCAGCACGGTGTGCTGGCTGCAGCGCGGCGGCCATTGGAGGGTGATCCAACGGCAAAAGGAAGACCTTTCTCTCTGTCTCTCTCTCTGTCAACTCTGCCTGTGGGGGAAAAAAAAAATAATAACTGACTGGGAAAAGCAAGGAAGGTACAGAAGAATAAAATTCAAGTCCCTGAAAGGCTGTAGTAGAGAAGAAGTGATCAGATTCTTCTACTCACCTAAAAGTGGAACTCCTATCTGGAGTAGACAAGGCACAGAGAAGCAAGCATGCGCATGGTTTGCCCCTGTTCTGTAACACACACACTGTAGACTGAGACAGATTTGGGCCCAGATGCTAAACTAGATGCTCTGCTACCTGCATGTATATGGTCATATTTTACACATAGTTCTTTTGATTTCCCTAAAAACAATGGTGAATTTTTTATATAAATAAGATAACAAACCATCATCATGTAGACATCCATGAAAGGATTGAAGTTGTGAGAACTAGGTGTTTGGTGCAGTGGTGATGGTACCATTTGGGATGCCTGTAGCCCATATTCAGATGTGTGGTTTCATGGTTTAACTTTGCTTCCAATTCCATCTTCCTGCTAATGTGCACCGTGGGAAGCAGCAGGTAGTGACTCAAGTAATCTGGTCCCTGCCACACCCATAGGAGACCTGGATTAGGTTCCCAGCTTCTAGCTCTGAATTGGTGCACCCACAGGTCTTTCAGGCATTTGGGTAATGAACCTGTGGATGTGAAACCTGTGTCTGTCAGTTAGGTTATCTGTCTTGCTGTCTCTGTGCTAGTAAAATAAATGGATGAAATAAAGTTAATAGTGGTGGGTCCTGTGGCACAGCCGGATAATTCCCTTGCTTGAAGCACTGGCATCCCATATGGGTGCCGGATTGTGCCCCAGCTGCTCCAGCTCTCTGCTATGGCCTGGGAAAGCAGTAGAGGATGGCCCAAGTCCTTGGGCCCCTGCACTCACAAGTGAGACTTGGAAGAAGCTCCTGGCTCCTGGCTTCAGATCAGCTCAGCTCCAGCCATTGTGGCCAATTGGGGAATGAACCCTCAGATGGAAGACTTCTCTCTCTTTCTGCCTCTCCTCTCTCTGTATAACTCTGCCTTTCAAATAAATGAATAAATCTTTTTTTAAAAAAGTTAATTACTTATCACTGCAAGGAATGCAGAGTTTGGAATTTGACTTTAGCCTATTGACTACATTGTAAAACAAAAATCATTTGAGAAATATAACAGTACTCAATTTCTATAACATAATTTATAATATCCAAGAAAAAATTCAGAATCAACCCCCACCCAGGTAAAGAAAAAAAATGTGATTATAATCAAAAGGAAAAAGAATCACTAGAAAGAAACTTAAGTTAACCCAGATTTTGAAAGTAAAATATAAGATGTTTATGCTATACTTATACTATATGTTTATAATATAAAGGATGATATATCAAAATTAGCAGTAGAAAAAACAACTGGAAAAAACAATGGAAATTCTAGAGCTGTATGATACAGTAATAAAATAAAAAATACATGTGGACTAAATCACAGGTTACAAAAGGCAAATAATAACCCATATTTTAGCTTTAAATATGCCATGGGTTTTTGAAAATATTTATTTTATTTATTTGAAAGACAGTTACAGAGTGAGGTGGAGCTAGAGAGAGAGGGGGGGGGGTCTTCCATCTGCTGGTTCACGCCCCAAATAACTGTATGATTATTAGACTGATTAATGATTAATAATAATATATAATAATATACTATTATTATATTATTAGACTGATTTTTTTCAGAGAAAATAAATCCACAGAGGTGGGTGACCAACTGTAGGCGTGCACATTGGTGGAACACATGGCAGGAGGCCCCAGACACAAGCAACCAGCCTTTTTTATCTTAGGAGGGCTAGGGGTAGAGTGGGAGTAGGGGCAGTTGACAAGACTGCCCTTGCTCCAGGGGTTGGTTTTAGCTCCTTTGTCAAAGATAAGTTGGTTATAGATGCGTGCATGGATTGATTTCTGGAGTTTCTATTCTGTTCCATTGGTCTACACATTTTATTTTATTTTTTTTGGCCAGTACTAGGATGCTTTGATTTTAACTGCCCTGTAATATGTCTTGAAAGTGGTATTGTGTTGCCTCCAGCTTTGTTCAACTCTGATGTCCATCAACTGAAGACTGGATAAAAAATATGATGGTACATATACACTATGGAATACTATTCAATGGTTAAAAAAATAAACTCCTGTCTTTTTCAACAAAATGGTTGCAAGTAGAAACCATTATGCTTAGTGAAATAAGCATAATGTCCCTAAAAGACAGATACCATACATTTCCCCTGACCTGTGGTTACTAATAGAATACCTAAAATGTAATGCATACCGAGTGAAATTGACACTTTAAGATTTGAGGAACATCTACAGCCCTTGTCTCTACTATTGAGGAACAGTGTTTTTTTCTTCGTACTATTTGTTGAACTCTTTACCTAGTGTAGGATGAATCTTATGAGTATAAAATAAACTGAAAATATATCTTTGTAAAAAAATGAGTGGGAATGGCAGAGGGAAGAGGAAGAAGGATGGGAGTGGGCAGGATGGAGA